AAACCAACCCCGCTAACGTCGCCAGTCCCTCCGAAAAAAAGAGAAGAGAGACAACAAGGGAAAAGAAGGAGGAGAAAGGAAAAGTAGGAAGACGGAAACCACTCAACAGCCAACAAACAGCAGACGAGGCAACCTCATCAACCGACAAACTTCTCGAGAACAATCTCGAAAAAGAAGCTTTAAAAAGCAGAAGGTTGGCCCTCGCCTAGAGCAATTTAAATCACCGCGAAGACCACGAGAGCCAGGGACCTGTGATCGGCCACCAGTGTGTAGAGCTTCGCCCTGGCCGCAAATACCATCCTCGACGGAACGAGAGACGGTCGGGGGAGGCGACGAGAAAGAGAGAGAGAGAGGGATAGGACGAAGGAATCGCCCCGTAAATTTGAACGGGGGTGCACGCGATTTCCTGGCGATACAAGTTGGCCCGAACTCTGTGCTAAAAGCCAATCTCCAGCCAGCTGCGATTAGCGTGACCGTCCTCGTCGACTTCGTCATCGTCAACGGAGCCAGCCGCAGCCTGGGGGACGGAACTTCCGAGATAGATAATACCCCGGGATGTCCAAGTTGGAAGACCTTCCCACACCTTCCCTCGCTCGGTTCTCTCTTTCCCTCTGCCTCTCGTTCTCGTTCTCGTCTTCCTTCATCTCTTCTCCTTCCCATCCCCCCCAAGTGTACTTCCCAACCTTACCGGCCCCGGGAAGAAACCTTCGCAACTACTACACGAACACCGGGGCGAACTAAGGGCACGCCGGCGCGGATGTGTTTGTAATTCTACTTTCCGCATGATTCAATTTATTTCCATCGGCCTTCGGCCTTGCGATTCTCGTTCTCGAGAGCCCATCGGGAACGCGGTACACAACGTCATCGTCTGCGGGCATTTCTCATGGTTTCGGATCGTTGCGAGAATTTGGGAAATATCGTTCAACCCCCGTTTCTGCGAGTTTGGCCAGAATGTGAAAATCGGGGAATAAAAAGGTCAATTTCTATTTTCCGACAGTTCTATTTATCCCAGTTTGAAATCTTCGAAACGTACGACGAAACGTTCTGAAATTTTTATGCAGATATCATAATGCGTTTATTATCAATTGTTAGACTGCGAATTGTTTGTACATTTTTGGGAAATTTGAAGATACAATGATCCACAGAATGCGCATAATAACGGAAATTATATAGGATATTTAAAACAAAGTACATTCTATGATATTACGTGGATAAAACGAGGTTCTGTTTAATTTAATTATAAATAAAACTTGTTTCAATTTTTAATTTGTCTGCAGTTGCACCAAGAAATAAAACAATATCAATGTAGAAAGCTTCTCGTCCGTTCATAACCGTTCCACCGTAACGTTAAAAATTTAACGCTATAATAGTAAAGAAAATTATATTATTAATATATAATCTTTCAAGTACGAATATGATATTAGTATTTCAATTAAATAACAAGTAGAATTCAAATACTTATGAACGACAGTGTACATAATTCAGAAGAGAGAATAGTAAACGCTGGACAGGTTAGGGAGAAAAAAAAAAAGGCAAAAATCCTGATATTTACGAGGGAAAAATCCCCTTTCTTTTTTTTCCCTTCTCTTTCTCTTTCTCGTAAGATTTTACTTTCTTTCGTTCGTGCAGTTTTCTTCGATTTTCCCTTCGATTCGGTCCCGATTTGCGATAATGAGTTTTCAAACTCCTTTAAGCGGACGGTATATATCCAGCCCCGCTTTGCCCAAGGACCGAAGGACGGCACAGTTTCAGGGACACAGGAGGGCTGTGAAATTCCATTTCCTTGCAACGATCGCTCCTGCTTCCCGACCTAACGAAAATCCCTGCTACACGCCAGGATATTGGTACCTGGCTGGTTTAGAAGTTGCCAAAGTATCGGTGGAAGGATTATCCTCGCTGTGTTGTTTTATCTTTAGTCTTGGTGTACTACGATAATAACGAGCTGTTGCGCCAGATAAATTGAATTAACATTTTTCTCTTTTTAAGGGAATAGAGAGATGAATTGAAAGAGAGAACAGATATTCTAGAATAATATATAGAAGACGATTTCAAAAGAAATTTTCAGAGAGAATTCATTTTGCAGTTGTTGCTTAAATTCAAATTCAATAGTACTTTAATAACAATAGAATTAATAGTAGAATAATTTTTTCCTTTTGTAGAAAAATTTTATTCGAAGTTCATGTAACAAGAGTCTCCATTGTTCCTCTCCTCTATTAGTGATTTCGTACGATAACAGCTCAGCTGTTCAACTTCAAGTAACTAGATTCAACCGCAAAGTTCATTTGATCGCGTATTGACTAAACTTTCGTTATAACTAATTTATTTAAATTTTTGCATTGTGTAACAACGCAGCACACTTTCTGCCTCTACGTCTGTATGTATATTATAAATATATACTATACAACATCCTGATTCACCCCTCGAAACTCAACCCTAAATCGGGAGCCGCTGCTTCGGCATATTACAACACGACTGGAACTTGAAGAACGAAAAATGTAAAAACGTAAAAATTTCCAAACGAGAGGGGGGTAGGATCGATCGAGGCAGCCACGTGCAATGGCGATCGATCTTTCGCGGGTGCGCCATCGGACAAACGATTCCGGTCGTTGCCACGGGGGATTAACAGAAATTTATGCAGCAACATCTGCCACCGGTGTCTCAGCGTTCGCTCGTTGCTGATTCAATCGCGGCACGCAGCTGGGCCAGCGCGCGGCCCGCGTTAACATCTTCCAAGTTGGCAGACGACTTAACATTTATCACGTGAGATTAATTAATGACAGCGAGACAGCCGTAAGCGTATATATACCTGGCAAACCGTGGCGGATTTCTCTCTTCCATTCAGCATCTCTCTCTCCCTCACTCTCTCTGCTTTCATTTCACTTTTGCTCATACCTGTCTCCTTCGTCTCTGTTGAACTTCTTCGTCTCTCACTCACTGTTCTCCTCCCTTGCGAGAATAAGTCGACGAGTGGTCCTTCTCTTAGAGAACATCCGGCCAACTCTGGCTGGTTTGCTCTTGATACATTTCTCTACTGTATTTTCCTCCCACCTCTTGTTCTCGATGCCGTTATCGTTTTCTCTTTCTCACTTTTCGATCGGTTTGTAACGATTTGTTGGTTTTTTTTTTTTTTTTTTTTCATTATTGTCTGTTGTTGTTTGGAGAAGGTTTAGGCAAGCGTGTGATGATCGTGCGAATTTGGGGGAATTTATTTGAAACTTATGGATATGGTTGCGAATCTGCATCGTGGTTGATTTTAAGCGTGTGACTTCAAACGAAATTGTGCGTTTAAGGGGTAATGTTTCTTTTTTTTTTTGGATGCGGGTGATATTGAACGAAATGAAAATTATTTCCTAGAAAAATAACTTTGTATATGTATAATTTCCAAAGTAATTTTATAGCATACAACTTTTGAAAGAGGTAACTTTTACGGGAAAATTATTTTCATTTCGGTAATATAAAATTCAGTAACACAGAGTAAAAGGATGGGAAAAATATAACAATCGATGTAGAAAATCGAAGCAATTAACACTATTAGATACTGTTTAGGTAATGAACGATAATAATTCGTTAAAAACGAAGAAAATAATTTATTCTCCTTTTTATAAATCTCTTTGCAATGTTGAACGCACAAGGTATATTCCTTATTTAGAATCAATAACATTCAATTATAGATCTTTCAGAAATTTAAAAAAAATACAGTTTGACACATTTGTAGAAATTAATTGAAAGTATAGTAGCATGTAAACATTTTCTTATTGATAAATAAATAAATTCAATTGAAAATCTTCAAAAACTTAACAAACGATACTACAGCTTGTGATTTACAGAAAGTTTCGAGAAAGTACAAAGGTAAAGTTTTTTTTTTTTTAATTTTTCTCATTAATACTGATTAACAAAACTTGTAGAAATTAATTGTACGTAGAATGTAAAGTGTTCCTCTAATTTTTTCTCGTTAATACTGACATTCGAAAATCTCTAAAAACTTAACAAAACGTGTTACAGTCTAAGATTTGTGAAAATTAATAAGTAGAATGTAAAGTGTTTCTCATTAACGCTAACGTCCAAATAAAATTCTTTAAAAAAGTTAACGGAAAGCTAATTGAAAATCTTCGGTTAAAAGTCAAAAATTAACAAAAAACGCTACAACACCATAATTTATAGACTCACTAGAATACCAGTACGGAAATACTATATATAGAAATTAAATAAAAGTAGAATACAATTTTTCTCATCAATTAAATTAATAAGATTTAGTTAAAGATGTCCCAAGAATTAAACAAAAAATACTGGAACTTACGACTTTTAAAAACTAATTGCAAGTAGAATGTAAAGTTTTTTTTTTTTTTTTTTCTTATTTGTCCATCGATGATTGTTTTCTAGCCTCACAACGAGAGCCCACAGCCGCTTTGTCTTTCACGTGTCATCGATGATACGTAAATCAGTTCAATTCATTCCATCGCGATTGCGCAAACAATTTTCTTATAATCATCTTCTTTCTCACTAGATGCATTATAATGCTAATAATTACAATACTAGTATAACGACTATAATTATAACAAACATAATACTCGCGAAAGACTCTAAATGAACTAGCATCGCGTTCTAACGTCAACGTTTTGGCATTTTCTTTTTTTTTTTCTTTTTTTTTTTATCAGGAAGAATCACGTCGCGTGGAAGACGAAAAATTAGAAAAAGAAAAAAGGGAGAGAGAGAGAGAGAGAGAGAGAGAGAGAAAATCGAGTCAATCTTTTTTTTTTTTTGTTCTATCGAAAGTTACGAAATTAGTTTTAATCGAAAGCTCGCGAGCACATTTCGTTAAAACGATAAGAGAAGAAGGGACTTTCAGTTTGACTTTCGGATAGTTAGCGAAGGCTTTTAACTCGGAAAGAACGATCCATCGATTCAGAGCAAAGTTCACTATCTTCAGCTGAAGATCTTCAACGTGAGAGAGTGAGTTTTCAAGTGACGAGAGTGAGAACTTAACATAAATCGCAACTTACAGAAAGCTGAAAACAGAAAAAAGAAAACAAGAATTGTCATACAGTTAGAAACGATATGACCAACTATATACAACTATGTATGTTCTTTTTATTATTAGGCTAATTTCTACATTCTGATAGGTCTATTATGTTCTATTCGTTATTGGTGGAAAGTAAATGATCGATGTGAATAGATTTTTTTTTATCGTACTGCTAAAGCAGTTGATTATTATTATTATTATCCTTCGCGGTTTTTACGCAATTGAAATGATTGTGCTTAATAAGAGTCTGGACGAATGTACAGTTAATTAAATTATAAATTGAAACACGATCAAGGATTGTTACAATTTTACAAAAGAGCCTCCTCGTGTTCGAACTTCTATTTCAATACATAATCGTTATATTGTGTTACTACAGTAAAATATCTATTATTAAGTATGTGATGATTTTTTACTTAATACGATGATTTTACTAGCAAACAATCTTATTGGGCAATCTAAGATACTACGAATGTTAAAATACAAAACACTCAATTTAAAACAAAATACAAAGTAGTAAGATATTTCAAAAATAATAATTCATATAAAGGAGGTTCTATTGTATTACTTTTTTGATTGTTGCGAACGAAATGGTCGAATTTTTAATAAAATTAGTATTTTCTGTAATAAATATTACAAATCTCTACTTACTAGAGAACCATTAGAGAATCTTCTATGATTCTTGAGTCAATAAATCACGATTTATTTCCTTTTTGTTTAAGGCACGCTTGAATTATTTTAAACATATAGACGCGACTCTGAATCGATCATTTATTTTTCACACACTTATCAAAAATATAGTACTTTCAAAATTCTGTAAGTGTTAAAAATGTTTGTCTCTCACAAGGAAAGATCCCTAATTTGAATATTTGGAAAACTATGAAATTTTAGAAGTATACAGACCACATATGATTACGTATAACGCAGTTTTTTTTTTTTTTTTTCTGAAATTCACACCATGTGTTAGAAACTGATAGTTAATTCTATTTCTCAAATTTTATACTGTAAGACAGTTTCTCTAAAATTTTGAGGCAAAAGTTATTTTTTTTTATACTAGAATTATCAACAATTAATAAATCCACTACATGATAATTATAAGTAAATTTGATAAAATAAGTAAATTTTAAAACATTTTTTCTTCCATCTTTTACAGTTTGCTCATAAAATCGAAGAAATGTATTACACATGCGCTCTGTATATCCCTGAAATTTCATCATTTTCCAAATTTCAAAGTCGAAGATCCCTCCTCCGTCAGTTAAAAATTAAGCAACGTCCTCCTCCCGTCGAATAAACGCAAAACTAAAAACACGATCGTTCCCATTAATCGTCCTCACTTTATCCATCGCGGATAAACCCTCCAAGATAACAGTTGCTCGACTATCGTTTAAATCGCCAGCAACGATAATTTCAGCCAGCTAAAACCCCCGCAGAATCCCCAATTTTCCACGAATCTAACCCGCGCCCGAATTTCCCCGTCGCGCGTGGGAAATAACGTTTCTCGTATAACTCGCGACACTCGTAAAACTCTATAATGAACGGTGTTTCGCCCGTGTTTCCGGTTAATGTTCATGTTTTCCGGCCGATGGAAAACAGGGAGAAAAAGAAAAATGATGAGAAAGGAAGATTGGAGAGGGGAAAAAAAAAAAGAAAAAAATTGCGAAGAACGCGGATATGGACGGGCGCTCGTAAACGATTTTCGTCCGCGAGAAAAGGGGATGACACGCGCGAAATCGGGATTTTGATTGCGCAAGTTATCGTCGACGAGATCATCGTCGAGCGGCGCAAACGTCAGCACGGTGAGATACGGCGCGATCGTCTGTTTAATATACCGGGTGACCGGGCGATAAACGACGAATAAATCCGGCGGTCGGAATCTACGGGCGTAATTACCAGAATGTCGCGAGAGAGCACTGTGCTCTTACGATTACGATTCCGCATGTGAGTGGTGGAGTAGGTAGAGAGAAAGAGAGAGAGAGAGAGAGAGAGAGAGAGAGAGAGAGAGAAAGAGAGAAAGAGAGAAAAATTCATTTTACGTTCTGTCCCCGTATTTTGTTTCGATATTGATTGATTTGCGCTGGGATTACGAGGATACGATGCATTGTCGGTGATTTTTAAAGTTAATATAGGACGAAATGAAAAATGGGTTGAAGTAACGTAACTTTCCATTGAGTCACGACCGAAAATAAACGGTAATACGATTGTTCGAAATGGTAATAAGTTGAATAGAATTTACACGTTCGAGAAAGGGAACAACTTTTAACTGGCCAAGTGTGCAGCATGTATACATCTCATAATGTAGGGGGGGACCGAACAACACGGTTACGAAATGTGACATTTATCGAAATAAAAATGCTAGCAACCGACGAGGGAAATACCGCGTGTGGTGCTCTTCGCCGTGCATTCTCAAAAATACGAATTTCCACGAAATCCATCGCCGTCCGCTAATTACTATCGATTTTTTAATCGACGGCGCGCAGCGTGCAGTAACAAGAGCGGTAAAACGCAAAGCTTACCGCGGCCACGTGACGACTTCCAGCGGATTTATCGTCTGTAACAGGGCAGACAGGCGCGCGTCCGCGGAAATTTATGTCGCCTACGGTTATTTATCTCCTTTTCGGCACGGCTAGGCGATAATTGCGCGCCGCGTGGCCCTTAATCATCCGAATTACTATGCCGCAATTTTAATTATCGCCAGCCGCGATTGTACTCGCGAAATCGATTCCAAATAATGGCCCTCTCCTCTATGCTAGTGTACATCAACTAATTAATGTAACCTCCTCCTCCCCCTACACCCGCAGCTCTCTTTCCCCCCGTGCTTCTTTCCTCCCGCGTGAAATCGGCCGCTTGAATAAATTAGCAATAGCTCGCCGTTCCGCGTCGAAATTTTCAATTATCAATCGGCGGCGAATGGATTTAAACGCCGGTAAATTTTCGTTCCGGTGTTTTGTTCAATTCATACGACGGTGGTTCTTTTTTTTTTCTCTCTGTTTTTAATTTGCTGCTTAATTATTTACGTGATAGGAATATCGTTGCTGGCGAATTTCACTGTTGTTTAAAATCGCGTGTTCGAATGGGTGACTTCGCGTCGCGGTGCCATTTTCGTGGATTAATCATTTTACAGACATTTTTCTCGTACGTTTTCCTGAAATGTCTCATTTCCAAGTATATGATTAATCACAATCTCAATATGTATTTCGAAATATTAACATCGCAAGCGGAACAGGTGTTCACATCATTCATCATCAATCTCTCATTGAAGTCCTCAGATACTCTGAATTTTTGTGCGAAAGCGTGCCATTTTCTTTTCTTCTCTTCTGTATGTAATTTATGCGCGAATAAAAGTAACTTTTCATTAAGAATTTTGACAAATCGTGTAAACGTTAAACGACTCTGTAATGCTGTTAGAAGGAATTTAAACTTAAATTGCAGAACGGGAATGAAATAATTCTCGCTGCCAAAGTGTCTTTAGAAAATGTTCCATCAGACGCACGCGAATAATTACTAATTTGATCACGCGAGTAAAAATATTCTGACAACAAAAAATAAATATTTTTTAAATCATTCTTTCGATACTACTCGTTACTTTGTAGCATGCAAAAGTGTCGATCGTCGTCGAGAATAAAGCGCGCATTTAACAGTTGGTTGATTAGTCACGACGGAAACCAAAAGGGAAATTGGACCAAGGTCCTCTCAACGCGATCTCGCCTCCATCCCGAGACTGAGATCACTGACATTCCGTGTTCGTAGCAACAACATTCTCGTGTCACGTTCTAGTCGAGCGCGTTATTAGGTCAACAATGGACACGCGTTGGAAAATCTCACGAAAGGAACATCGCGAAAGAAAATCAACGGCAGAGCGTGACGTACCGACGCGTCGAAAACGCGCCGTTGCTGCGCTTTTTCCCCATCAGATTCCATAGTCGACGCCGATATCTGACAGAAACGTGCCCTACTTGTCGATAGAATATTTACTGGCAAATGTTTCTTTTTTCTTTTTCTTAGAAAAAAAAGAAAAAAAAAATTGCCTTCATCGAAACAGAGTGATAAATGTCGACACGTCGTCGTAACGGAGGATTTCTTTCTTCTGCAGATTTTTATCTTTCATTATTATCGTACTTACAGTGACTGAAGAAAGATAATAAGAAAGTTAAATTTCAGGAGATTTGTCACATCGTTTAATTTCTGTCGGAACGTTTGCAATTGAAACTTTTGGCAAAATTATAAGAATAACTTCTAAAATAACTCGTTTCCATGAAACTTTTATTATAGTTTCTAAAATATCTCTGGTTCACGGGAACGCTGTCCTCTCTACTAGAAATTTCACAAGAAACAGTTATTTTTTATACAAAGTAAATCAGTTGGAACTTTTCAGAATTTTCTTTTTTTCTTTTTTTTAAACTGGAAAAACCCTGTTGATTTCGATTCTCTGGTTCAGAATTTAAATCACCAACAGGCGATCTCGTGGATATAATACCGGCTTTATACGGCAAGCAAGCACCTCCACGTAAACGATCTTTAAACGAAAGCAAGAGAAGAGCCATCGAGCCGCGTGGATGGACTAGATATTCAAACGGTGATATACACGTGCAGTCTTTTCCACGGGCCACAATCGGTGGATATTCGCGCGTCGCGTTCCAGTCGTGCCGCGACGTACGAACGAGAACGAGGTCAATTGAGCGTGCTGCCGCTGGTGCACACGGGACTAGACGCGTACACACCGCAATATCCAACACCGTGTGCAACTGCGAATGTTCCCAAGAACGGAACGTGGCATGTTGCTGGACAAATACGGCCGGCGTACTTCGCAACGAAGTCGTAAACACGTTAAAACAGTAAACGTTATTGATTGTCAGTAGAGTCTGGTCTCTGCGGGCTCGAATTCCACTCGAAATTCTACTCGAAACCTCACTCTCTCCTCCCCTCGTCTGGCAAGACGTTAAATTCATCGGAGAGAGTTTAACATCATTTTCGCGAAGGATGATTCTGATG